GGGGCCGAGCGCCGCAAGCGAGCTCGAGGAACAGGCAGCGGGCTGAGCAGTGGGGCCGCCTCCGCCTCCTCCGGCGCCGCCCGCGGCTACGAGGTCGTCCGCGAGCTGGGAGCCGAGGAAGTTCGCTGGTTCTACCGCGAGGACCGCAAGAGCTGGAAGCCGTTCATCGGCTACGACTCGTTGCGCATCGAACTGGCCTATCGCGCCCTGCTGCTCCTGGACGGCCAGGATTCGTCTAGCCCCACCGGTAGGCCTGAGAACCTCGCGCCTTCTTCGAGCATCCTGATCCCTGAGCCGGTTTGTGTCCGCGGCGGCCTCTACGAGGTGGATGTAGTCCACGCCGAGTGCTACCCGGTCTATTGGAACCGTAAGTCGCTCCCGCTTGCTCCTCCATTTTATCGTTGCTCCGGCTGGATACTGTCTCGGTACAAGTGGCGGCATCCTTTGGGGGCTCCCTGTTATTCTTTCAGGAGGGGGGATTCCTCGCCATCACTTACTGAGGTGCTGAAATTCTTTGCGTGCCTGGTTTGGAGTGAGTCCAATAGAACAGGGTGGTGGTCGGCACATTCCCCAGTTGGCTTGGCTGGGACTGGAGGGCACTTTAACCAAATGATCCTCCTCTAAACCTTAAACAAGAAAATCAGCTCTTTTGTATTCAGTAGGAATTACTTCTCAAGCAAACATACACAGCATTTGTGGGCTTCGGATTCTGTATAAGTGTGTTTGTGCCTTGCTAACCAAATGATCCTCCTTTAAACCTTTGACAAGAAAATCAGCTCTCCTGCATTCAGTAGGAATTACAGTACTTCTCAGGCAAACATTTATAGGCTCAGGATTCTGAATAAATATGTTTGTGCCTTAAAAAATAAAATGCTAGGGTCCTGCTTGTAAGCATATAACATAAACATGATAGGCACAGGAGGAGGTGAAGGATGAAGAGGAATAGATATCCAGCATCTTTTCCCTTAATTGAGTGTCCCTTTTTTTTTCTCTTTGGCACTGGCCATTCCTCAAATATGCACAATCACTGAGCCCTTGCTTCGCCTTACAGACTCACTCTTCATCTGTCAAACAAGAAAGCTTATGTCTTAAGTACATGTCAACATCTCTGTATATCATACTGTTTTCTGTTCTGCTATGGAGCACCCTCCCAAATTAGATATTTTGTTTTGTTTTGTTTTGCTTCTATCCTATATAATAGTATTCATTATTTTTTTCCTGATTGGCGCTGATCACACACACACACACACACACACACACACATTTTATTCCACATATAAGTGTAGGTATATCCTGCTAGGATAGGCAGTGGCCTTTTTGGAGTTGAATGTCCTCAAAATCTGTGAAACTAACTAAATAAAAGAATTAAAGTTGGCTTATCCCATTAGGTTATCTGCTGTTTTCTGGTTCTCAAGCACCATTAGTTAGTACCTGTTGGCTCATTGTTAAAATTAGCATCTAGCAATGAGGGATAGTGGGTTGTGTTCGGGTGTAGTTGATAGTATCCTGAAAAAGAGAGAGGTGAGATGTTTAAAGAACAAACAGCATTGTAGGAGCAGTTTATGGACTTGGTGGAAGTGAGAATGGTTTGCAAGACAGAACGGTATGGAGAGGTATAGTGAACGTTGTTGCTGCAAGTTAGTTTTAGCTTTTTTTTTTTATTTTGAATAATTTCTTTGGCTTGCTATTTCTTACTCCTGTTCTGTGCTTGTTCTTTTCATGTATTATTGAGACCTGGTTGGACAAGAATGGAGATGTTGTTATCTCTGAGATTGCCCTCCTGGGTTTTGGGTCCTTTAACAGCCAGAACTGGGGAAGGAACATGGCATGGATCTTAAAAGGATCTTTACCTGTGATCAGGGACTTTGCCCCTGAGATAGTACAATGTGAATACCTATATGTTAAATTAGGCCATGGGGACAAGTTGGGCATTCTGCTGCCCAGCAGGTTCTTTAATGTTGCCAGTGTTGTCTCTTGCAGTGATAGCACTGCTCTTGAAAGAGCAGGTCCATTACATCTGTGTCCTTCTGGACTCACAATTACTACTTAATGGGCAGGTGAATTCTGTGTCCAGGGTGAGCTTTGCCCACCTCCAGCTGTTGTACAAGTTGCAGCTCTACCTGGAGCGCTAGGATCTCTCAAGAATAACACACATCCCCATTCCCTTGTGTCTGGACTACTACAGTGAACTCTACATGGTTCGGCTTGAAAGATCACCCATTCAGTTGATCCAATGCACCATCCTGGGTTTTGACTGGTGGAGGATGACATAAGCACATGACACTTGTGCTCTGGGCCCTGCATTGGCTTTCCATATGCTTCCAAGTGCAATTCATAGTGCTGGTTTTAATCTTTAAAGTTCTACATGGCTTGGCATAGAGGCACATTTGATTCATGAGGCCCAAGAGACTTCCACAGTGTTCTGTGGCATGGGTTGCTCAGGTGGCTGTGGATTGGCCTGGTACCATGGCCTGAGTGCCTCCTAAAACTGTGTTCTATTAAAAGATAAATAATCATGTGATCCTGAGAAGATTAAAATTATTTGACCAAATAGCAAGGACTCATTTCTATGGTGCTATCTGCCACTGCTGTATCTACAATTAGTACTCTCATAATATATGTCTGGGTCAAAGTTAGAACTGGGCTTTAATGTCAGATTAGTATAGGGCTGTAGTTTGCTCCTTTTTGCTCAGGTAGAGACTGGGCAGGGGATATTTTAATATGGATTCTTGCACTGAGCAAGTGTTTGGACCTAAATGGGTCCTTGTTCCAACGATACATTGACATATGTAATTCAACATGAAAAGATTATGTACAGCCCTTCACCTCTCTAAGTCATGTTGGACACAGCATGATTGCCTGCAATGGGGAGTCTTTGCATATTCATGAAAGTTTTCACAAAATCCTGACACAGTAAGATTCCAACTACAGAGGAGGATTTGCATGTATATGAAAAGTATGGATTACTTACATACAGTCATGATATATCCATGAAGACTGGCTTTTCAGCAGTGTTTCCTTCATGACTTGGAGAAGGGAAGGACTGATTCCCCACATTTGGGGATTGTGTGTTGGAATGTGTCAACTTTGAAACAAGTCCCAGTGTGATGAAAGGTGGAATAGAATACTTGTAAGTTGGAGATTGTTTGTTGTTGCATATAAGCTTTCTTGTATTTGCTTTCTTCAAATCAGTGTCTTTGTTTCTGTCTGGGTTCTCTTACTGCTTTATTATCCTTCTGCTATCCAGAGAAATGCAGCCTTTTCCTTTGATATGAAAAGGATATATAGCATAGTTTCATTTCCATTGATATTGAGATATTATGCATGTGTGTGTATTTGTTTTATTATGTTTCTTATTTTCTTTCAGAGGAGACATTGAAAGCTGTTACTTTCTCTAGTTTGATATAAGCTCCCTTTGGTTGACAGTGTAGATCCCTGTAAGTAGAAACTAGCATAACAAAATAGCTTTCCAATGAGACTGATGAAATTTTACCATTATACTGGTTGCTTTTACAGAAGTACGTGAAGGCTGTTTGTTAATTTATATTGTTTCAAGACCAAGAAAGATGCTAGCAAAGGGTTTTATAGTGGAATAAGTTTTGTTTGGACTGTTGATAAGAAGAGAAGAATAATTTGCTATGTATTTAAAAACAGGAAGCTAGTGTCACAAGTTAACAATAGGCAACATGAATACTAAATCTTTTAAATAATTGTTCACTATTCTTAAATTATATTCCACACTAGTAAAAAAAGCCATAAAACAGCCAAAGCAAATACTCTCTCCCCAAAAGTAGATAATTGCTCAGTAGTCTATTGTAATGTCTGTTTAACTTTACTTATTTAGTTTGTTTCAGTTGGTTACAGTTTTACTTTCTATTCTTTCAGTTACTTACACCTCAAGATGTCTCTTCCATTTGTGGTAGTGAAGTTGTGGTAGTGAAGCATATTTTTTAATGTTTTGGAAAAGCACATACAATTAATTTGTGCTAACATTATCAATACTTTATCATGCAGGCATGGAACACCAAATTATCTTTACTTACGTTACTCCTGTGGCAGCACAATGAGCAATGTCCAAGAGATGAGTGCTGCAGCATAGCCTTCTGATTTTCCAAAGAGCCATAGAAGGCTATCCAGGGATGTGGTTATATCACAAAGGCAGGATTGACAGTTTTTGCCCTATGTTATCCTGGGTTTTGTAGATGAAAATGGTGGAGTGGGAGGGAATTTTAGTAATATAGTCTTGAAGTGCTGGAAGGCTATACATAGCTTGTGGGCCATGGGAATATGCAGTACAGGTAGTCTTGGTTTAGAGACTGCAGTTGGGACCAGCAACTCAGTGGTTAAGCAAAATGGTCGCTAAGTGAAGAATCATGTGACCACAATTGTGCTTATAATTTTACTTCAGCTTTCCTTTCTTTTACAGCATCAGAAGGATATGACCCTAAACAGCGGGTGAGCCCGAACAGTGGGAAAGTTTTCTGGAACTTGACTCACAAGGAAGCCGGATAAAAGGGCAAATCTTACAGCCCTTTTCTCCCACACCCCCACCCTTTAGAATGCTCACTCTGGTGCTGGAATAATCAGCAAGAAGAGAATTAATGTTCGTGTTTACATTCATTGGAGAGGAAGGAATTACAAGAGAGTAAGCAGGCACATAATGGGGAATACACATCAAAATGCTTCCCCAAACTGCTCAGGAGGCAAAAGAAAGCCTTCCTAACAAAATCAGTGTGAAACTGATTAGGGTCTTGTCAATTTCAGGCCTATTTGGTGTAGTGGTTAAGGCATCAGGCTAGAAACCAGGAGACTGTGAGTTCTAGTCCTGCCTTAGGCAGAAAGCCAGCTAGGTGATCTTGGGCCAGTCACTCTCACTCAGACCTAGAAAGGAGGCAGTGGCAAACCACTTCAGGAATCTTGCCAAGAAAACTGCAGTTGCCAGGAGTCAAGATTAACTCAAAGACACCCCCCCCCCAAAAAAAAAGATTCAGGCAGCAGCTGCCAGTGGCTCTAATCAACTAATTAAGGTTAGAGAGCTAAGCTTGTTAACTTGTGGTTAGCACATTTTTAGAGTAGGCTGGGCTGTGGAGAAAAGCAGGTCAGGAAGAGATAGTTTGTTTAGGCAATTTCTGCTCGGTGGGGGTGGGGGGTGAGAATAAAATGGTCAGGTACAGGACAGTGCATACTAACTGACTATAATGGTGAACAACTGATTGAGAGACAGACACTGTGAAGGTTGTAAATGTGGGCATTGGTTGCAAAGTTACTTTTTCATCACCATCGTAACTGCGAATGGTCACTGTCCAAGGTAGTCGCTAAATGAGGACTACCTGTATTCACTGCATATACTAGGACCAAAACATAATACTTAAGATTTTGTTTAGATCAATGTTTCTCAAAGTGTGGTCCTAGGACCCCTGAGGATCCCCCAAGACCCTCTCAGGGGTCCTCGGAATCAAAATGATTTGCCAGCCTATGCTAAAAATAATACAATATTAAAATCCCATTAAACAATCATGAGAAGCAGTAGTGGCAGTGAACGCATCAATTTTAATTTTTAATATTGTAAATAAATATAACCCATTCAAACAAAAGCTCTTTTGGGATCCTCCATAATTTTTAAAAGTAGGAAGGGATCCTGAGAGAAAAAAAGTTTAAGAAACACTGGTCTAGATCATTATATTTTGACCCTGTTGATTCTATTGTTCAAATAGTCACTGAGTAATATGAAATCTCCATTGGTTCTGTCAAAATACTGCATGTAAGGGCTGAAGCAGGCAAGGCGAGAACCAGCAGTGTTCAAGCCAAACCCAACTACTGAATAAACATTGAGTAGGTGCCACCTAATCTCAAGGCTTGGAAAAGAATGGCCCAAAGTCCATTAACTTGGAAGGACAGAGTAAAAAGCTTAGGATTTAAACCTTGTGGCTAGCAAGGTTTATATGTAGTATGCAAATCTTTATATGCATAACTTTATTTTTGTCTCCAGTAAAGCAGTTTATCTAGCTGTGACAAGGTTGTGAAGCTTCTGGTATTAGTTATTGAATACACACTTGAGTTTCTGGAGAACAGAGATTAATGCCTCCCTCTCTGAAGTCTTACACTGCTTGCCATGAGAATCAACTTCTTCTGCAAGAAAATTCCTGAAATTTGTGGTAGAATTGGGAATCAATACTTTGTGCTGCTAGATATCACACTGATATTTTTACTGTCTCTTAAGACTCATATGCTTGGAGTTTTATTTGTGACACTTTGGTGACTATTTGTGCTTTTCACTGCTAAATGGTGAACTTTTTTTTTCACTTACTAGGAAAACATTTTACTCAACAGATAACAATCTCCATCTGGGGATTCTCTCATATTTTGCTGTAGTCTTTCTACAAGACATGTCCAAACCATTTGAACTCTTCACTACTTATGACTTGTACCTGTGTTTTCCTAATATCTTTTGAATCATTTGGTGGGTCAGACAAGCAATTCATTTAACCACTCTGCCTGGTTTTACATAGGGGTAAAACAGTGTTAGCCCAGACATCTTGTTGTCTAAGATTATTTATTTAAAAATTCAACCATCATTAGTTCTGTCAATATTTTTCCTAAATGTCTTCCCCATTTGAGATTTCATTAATATCCAAGGTGCTTGGCTGATGACTGGGTTTTCACGGACAAGGCTGAAATCTTTAGGCAGAATCTGTTTTTTATTTGGCAAAGACTTCCAGTCTCATGTACGCGTACTCCACCAAGACTGCAAGTAGAGGAGTATTCCTGACAGCTAACAGCCCTCATATCTGATATCCTTTGAGAGACCTTACAATTTTCCCTTAAATGTCCAGTGTAAAAAAAGAAAAATGCTTGCTTTATGTAGGTCTTTGAATTATCACCTATACATTCACATTATCTATGCTCATTTCCCCTATAAGTTTTCATTGCTGTGACTCAGTCCTTTCTAATACAGCTGTGGCATGTGGATTGTAAGGAACAGAGTACTGTAGAATGAGAACCATGTTCCACTGAACATGCCTTCAAAAAGCTGCTCTTTCTAGAGACATCTGAAAAGAGCCTAGGCACAGAATTCATTTGTGCAATTGCATTGATGATTGGTTAAAGAATTGGGGCTAAAGCATCTTTGATTCTGTCTGTCTAGTTTGAATATCTTGACAGGGCTTACTGAGAATCTCCCTTGCATAGAAAATACATGGAACCTGGGTTAGGGGACAGACCCATATGCTCTGTGATTTCAGTCCCTCTGAGGTACAGTACATGCAGAACTCACCTTTGATTCAGCAAAGTAGATAAAAGATACTTATTCCATCATGCCTTTGGAACTAATTGGCTGATTGTGGGTGTTTCATTTTGGTATGTAGTTAGTTAACCAGTAGTTTTATTTTTCATGCACCTATAATTACATGCAGCATAGGTATTTTATTTATTTTTTTGCTTGCTTGCGTATTAACAGGGCTTATAGGCCATTCCATTCAGCCAATTGTGAGCAGCGTACAAGTCCCCAGTATGTAATTGTGATTAAAATAATAGCTACAAATCAAATTAAAGGAAGCACCATACGTTGTCATCCCATAAAAATGGGAGCCATGATCAAAACCAAGAAAAGCCAATCTGTGATCCAAAGGGATAGTCATAACAACCCATCCCCTTGGTTTAGTGAAACAACTAGCTTTTCACCAATTTTCGGAAGATCAGGAGTGGGGGAGCAATCACATATTGGAGGGATAGTATTGATTGATTGATTGATTGATTGATTGCATTGATTGCATTTCACTTGACAAGTGACAGGTATTGGTATCCCCAAGCCTAAGATTATGTTGCAGCTGCCCTGGGATGAAAAAAGATCTAATGTGTAGCCTCCAGCATGTGTCAGGTCCTATATGACCCAGGACAGGTTCATGGCTTTCATGATGTCATGAACTCCAGAGTTGCCTCTGACTCTTCTCCCAGGGAAGGTGAGTTGAAGTTCCCAAAACCAATCAGTCTCAAGAACTCCAACCCTATAGTAAATTCCAGTAGCTCATGCAGGGAAATCCCCCTGCAGCAGGGAGAAGGATGCAGTGGATACTCTGTGCGGTATTTTTAATTTACATTGATCACTGTTACCACTTTCATCCTTATTGGGAATCAGACACAGGTAGCCTAACTTATAAATAACATTATCTTTTTCATTTTGCAGTTTACTGATTTTTGCAAGGTAACATGGTTATATACTCTACTGTGAGCCACCCCGAGTCACCCTCTGGGGGAAATAGGCAGCATACAAATTTAATAAATAAATAAATAACCTTAGGGTTATGTTGTAATTATAATTTTACAATTTTAATGTTAATTTAATGTTAATTTAATGTAAATGTAAATTTACATTGTAAATGTAAATTTACAAGTTTAATTATGTTACAAATACATTGAATTTGCTGAGCTATCCATTATTATTTAAATAGATTCAACCACATTGCTCTAGCCTATGTTGAATCTTAATATTCTGTTTCTTTCCATTTTAGAACCTGAAAAGATTCCTGTGATGCGTGGACAATGGTTTATTGATGGCACATGGCAACCACTAGAAGAAGAAGAAAGTAATCTGATAGAACAGGAACATCTCAGCTGTTTCAAGGGGCAACAAATGCAGAACTTTGACACAGATGTGTCAAAACCCGTAGATAGAAAAGAGGGTAAGATTTACCACACAAAATTTCCAGATACTCTTCTTGTTATGATGGTCATAACTTTTGGGGGACATCTGACACTTAATTAAGTAACCGCACTTATATTGTCCACATTGATTGACAGAATCTCTCCCAGAATATCAGAGAGAAGTTTTTCTCAGCCTACATAGAATTGCCAGGAACTGCTCTTCCATGAATGATAGGCTTTTCTCAAAATATATCTGAACATTTTAGAATCAACAGTGTGATGTGACAGTTATATATTAAGATGCAATATTTCTATAAATCAATTTAGTTGCTTGCTTTTGGTATCTGAAAAATGTAGCAACTTGAGTAGTCTTAAAAAAAAACCATTCAGTGACTCTAGTTACAATACATCTAGAGTCGTTTCAATGAGATGGGTAGTGACAAATTTGATAAATAAATAATGAAAATCAGATTTATTAAATCTGGATCAGTCTAGGTTCAGGAGACGTGTTTGCATTTATTTGCTTTATTTTGCTTTTTGGTAGAATGAAATTTTAAATGATCAGATGAATCTTGACAGAGCAGTTAGTATGTTCTGAATAATAGTAGTTTGCACTAGTTTGGTGGTAGAGAGAATAAGTTTAATTAAATATTTATTTGACTGGTCAGCTATTCAATATAGCCAAAATTGTGCTGGTGACAGTTTTTAAATTTCTTGATAATATTAATTAACAAGGGCAGAACTCTGCCTTTAGTTCCAGTGTATTTGGAGTGAACCAAGCCAAGTTGATTCTATTCACTACCTTGCAGATAAAAGCTCAGTGCGTGTTAATACAAACGTTGCTTAATCATTATGTTATAATGAATTGCAGTTTTCTTAAGAGATCATTGTTTAGGTGATCTGTTTTTGCAGTTTACACAAGTGTTAAATCTGGTTCATGATTATATTATTTTCTTGTTCTTTTTAAGGCAGAGTTTGAAAAATAAAAGAACAATTTGACCAGATCTCTCTTGACTAATCAAATTCTTAATCTTAAGATTAAACCTCAGGAAATAGCTACATTTGAATCATTAAGCTTCTTCAGTAAAGTCAGTAGTTATGGGTAAGCTTATCAGCAATGCTGGTCCAGTCTGAAAAACCTGATACCTTTGTGCAATTGTTTAGACATTTAGACCTTCTTCCAGTACCAAACTGAAATTCAGGCTGATAGTTTTAACAGGTTAAAAAAAATATAACATGTTACTAAGCTTATTAGTAGAGGAAAGACAAAGAAATACAGGTAGTCCTCACTTACTGACTGCCTTGTTCAGCAATTGTTCGAAGTTATGATGGTGATGAACAAGTAGGTTTACAGCTGGTGCTGAAACTTGTGGCCATCACAGTGTTTCTGCGGTCATGTGATCAGGTGCTTTGCAACCAGCACACGTTTACAACAGTCACAGCATCCCACAGTTACATGATGGGCATTTGCAACCTTCACAGCTGGCTTCCAACAAGCAAAGTCAGTGGGGAAGCCAGCAGGAAGTTGCAAGTCGCAGTCACATTATGTTGCACTTAATGACCCATGGTGACTTGCTTAATGACCTTAGCGGAACTGATGTAAGTCCTGCATGGTCATGTGACATTTCACTTAGCAACCATGTCACTTAGCAATGGAGTTGCTGGTTCCAATTGCAGTTGGTAAGTGAGGACTACCTATATTTTCATTTTCCATCAACCTACCTGCTAAACATGTGGAATTCTTTTTTCCTTTCTATCTTTCACATGAATTGGTAAAGTACAAGGCTGTATTAAGTAATAAAGTGTGCTTTACTGCTAAAGCCTAGTTTAGATGAGCATAACTTTTGTCTAACCTGAAAATGAAATCCTACCACCAGGACTTCTGGATTTATATACATTGGGTGTGATATTTCTGTAGGGCCTGTGTATTTAATTCAGTGCAGTAGTTTGGATCACTTGGGTTAGACCTCATTAATTTGTCACAGGACATCTGCTCTAAGCATTACTAAGTTTAGATCCAAAACAGATTAGCTTGAAATAGTAAGAAAATGTGTACATGCCTTCTGTAAACTTTGAGTTTCACTCAGAATATTTTTTATGAAGAATCTGTTTCTGGGTTGCATAATCAGTATTGTAATTTTTCAGAACTTAACAAAAATCAAAATTCTCTTTATTTTCCCCTTTGAATTCTGCTTAATATTGTTAAAAAGAATGGGACATTTATTGTTGGGAAGATTAAAAATGTAAGAAGTTATATAAAGTCATTATAAAAATAACTTACCTAAGTGAAATATGATAGATTACTAGCAGAATTTTTTTTGTTTATAAATCATGTATATGTTACTGTCAATGTCAAGATAACTGCAGAGTAGCTTTTACTCATGGAGTTGAATCACCTTAAGTCAAGTTTCACCCATGGACATCTTGCAATTAATTTTTAGAGCCCACAGCATAATAATGAACCCAAGATACCTGAATTAGGAACATGGTTTCTACATATTTGTGTGGAAATGTAAATTTGTTAGAGTTGGCCATTTGACTGGACAAGCAGTAGTTTATCATCCAGATCCAAAAGGCTATAGTTAAAATAGTGTTTCAAACTTAGCAATACCGTGCCTGTTAAAATGATAAATGAATTTGTGGGACACTCCCCCCCCCACTCAGTGAATAAAACAAATGAAATCATTGGGTTTAGGGCAAGAAATATATATGCCACTTACTAGAAATTATATATCTTTGATGTTTTGCCTATGTTTTCCCTTCCCTTCCTCCTATACCCCAGAGAACAAGTCTGAGTCTCTTTCCAATACTTTCCCACCTCC